TCCTTAACAGCAACCCAGAAAGTTGGGTCTAGCTCCAGGCCTGGTCCGTGGGCTGCGACATCCCGCCTGGTGTCTGAAAACATATGCGCTGTAGTCGTTTTAAGGGGTTTAGATCTACAGCTCATGTGAGCCATAGTCTAAACTCCTGGTATCCCCCTTAATAGCTCTTGGGTTTCAGGTTTAGGGATTAGGGTTAAGGGTCTAAACTCCTGTTATCCCCGCTTACTAACCCCTATAGTAGTCCCCTGTATAACCCTTCTGTAAGGAGTTTAGACTCTAGCTCATATCCAGGATCCTGGACCTAAACAGTATCTGAGAACATTGAAATCTAAACAGTAGCTATGGTAGCTTCCATTTTCTTCTCCATTATCCTTATATTAGCCCCTATATATACCCTGTTATAATATAGTAGTTTGCATTTTCTTTTCCATTAGTCTATATAACCCAGCAGGAGGACTTCTAGCTGTCATGAATGGCTGTGTGGCGCACCCAGATCGCATCTCGTACCTGCGACTGGCAGAATGCAAAATTTAGGGGCCTCCCAAAATAAGGGGTACCATTTCGGGGGTCCCCATAATAAGGATTGTAATATTTTTGGGTCTGTACTGGGGTCCCCTATCTGGGAAACTACCATTTGTTGCCAGAGTGGGCAGTGAGTCAAACAACTTGTGGGCACAGAACGTCAGGTGAGCTATAGTCTGGATTCCTAGTATCCCCTTCATATCCTCTATAGTAATCCCCTATATATACCCCTTTAAGGAGTTTAGACTATACCTCACATTGCGATAGATTACGAGCCGCGGCTTCCGCCAGTGCAGAACAGCTGCTGTGACGTGCCATGGTACCCATTGGGGTATTATTAGAGTTATGTTGGGGTTATATAGGGACAATGGAAAACAAAATGGAAATTCGTATGGTATATCGGGGTTATATTGGGAAAATGCAAAATAAAATGGAAACTACTACAAGGGTTTAGGGTTTCGGACGTTTATAGCTGCTGCCCACAGCAAGTGCATGACATTTTGCAACCTGTATACTGCATGATAGTGGTAGCTGCCCTAAAAAAGCGGATCCCCCCAATATAGACCCTAAGCCCTAAATCCAAAATACAATGACCCTGATTAGAAGGACCCCTCAGAATGGTATCCCTAATTTAGGGAAGCCCTAAACTCTATAAAACCCTATACTCCCTTGAAAGGTACCCCTTCTTTTTGGAAACGCCCAGTATCAGTACTATTACTACTTCGTGTATCCACAGCCCGCGCTGAGTAGGTCAGAGCATCTTGTTGCAAACATCCCTCAGCTCTCATGAGTAAGTACTACTATTACCGTTCCCAGTATGATAACTACTAGGATTGCCATCATTGTTATTCTGTTCTGTTTTGCTATTGCTCTTCTTTTGCTCTCTTATGTTGCACGCTGAACTGCATCCTGTCAATCTTGCCTCGTCGCTGCTTGCTTCACTGCATTCGCCAACCACTCACGTCGGTGGGTGCTACATGGCTCTGGAGTCCCAATAGGTTACATGAGGATTATACAGGGATACTTAGGGTCTAGAGTTTCGGGTGTAGTGAATTCTGCTCTTCAGACATGCTGCAAGCTTGTGTGGGTGCTGCTGGAGTTGGGCAGGTGCCCACCCCTAGCACTTGCGTGCGCAGGCCCCAGCAAAAAAAGAAGGCCCAAATCAGTGAAGGCTCATGGCCCCTGAACTTCTCTAGTACAAGTAGAAGGGCTTTTTTCTCGCTGCGTTTGATATTGATAAAGGATTCTGGTGAACCGTCTCTTGCAGCAGGTTTTCGTTCGAGCTTTAGTTAGCGAGGCCTACCGGCATGAAATGCCAAGGGACGTTCAAGTTGAACTTGCAAGTGCGCCGTGGTCCTACATCAGATCCGTGAGTCAGGTACATGTTTGCTGTTGCTATAATTGTTATTACTATTATTATGTCCACTTGAATATTACTTTTGCAACTACTCTTGTTATTGCTGCTCCAGATTAAGTGACGGTCGTTGAAGGTTGCTGGATGACTCTTCTCCCTGCATGCCGAATTCAAAACAGCCATGGCCATTGCATGTTGGATAGCAGGAGCATGTAGACCCACCAACTCTGTATCAGGCCTGGCCTGCTGACACTTACAAGGCTTTTGCAAAGCACCGGTGCAACTCTGAGATGTCGCATAGTATCTTAGTGGCGAGGTGCGGTATCCATATGAGCAAAAGTCTAAACTCCTGGTATCCCCCTTAATGACCCCTCCCTCATATAACTCCGCTTTAAGGAGTTTAGACTATAGCTGATATTGGGAATGGGCTCATCATCATGCCTGCCGCTGCCATTTCCAGCCACCGAGACCCACGTCTGGCTGTTGTGAGACATGATCGTCATTGGATTCTTCGACCCTGCTTGTCGATGAAATACAACTTGCTACACCGGTGTTTGAACCTAACCCTAAATAGTAGCTTCCATGTTCTTTTCCAATATCCCTGTATAACCACAATATACTATACTAGTTTCCATTTTCTTTTCCATTATCCCTATATAGCCCTCTAATTGTTTTGAACCTGAGGTCGAAGACATGGGCCTTCCGCAATGAACACGAAGCGCGTGCTCAACCAGTGCATTTGCAAAAGGCGGTGAAACCACCTGACTGTCTTCGTCAATGTCCCGTAGGCCCTGCTGGCCTATGGGTCCGATGCAGAAATCCCACATGCAATTTGGGTGAGACTTGCTTTATGTTGGTCTTTGTCGGGCTGAAACAGGAATCTGAGGCTAGAACTAGTTGATCTAAGACTGACCAGTGCAAAGGAGTCCGGTCTTGGAGCAAGTTGCCTTCAGCTGTACAGCAGGGACCAAGCTCCGCAGGGCTCGTGCTACGTGATGTGGCACAGTGTTCAGTAGAACATGTCCAGCTCCTTCAGAGGCAGGAGAAGTTTAAAATACGTACTCAAAGCAGACTCAAGTCTCGACTCATTGATCCCCTACGGTCACAGCGATTTGTACAGATCAATTTCGTCTAGATGCTTGCAGCGCAGGACAACCTCCGAAAAGCCCTGCACCTACACCCCAGCTGGCCTTGTGCACCTCAGCTGTCAAACCAACGCGAGAGCGACAGCCAGGCAGCCGATGCTACACAGCGTCAAAATCAGAGATATTCTTACTACTACTTTTACTATTTCTATTATAGTATTCCTATTCTTATTATTATTACAATATTATTGCTATTTCAATCAAAGGCGCCTTGGAAGGCGTCGGGGCCGTGCTGAGCCCCGTAAATCTGGGCTTGGTGTCCACGAAGCCCTGTGTAGGAAACTCGGTGCGCTTTCACAGGCAGTTATCATCTAGCTCTCGTAAGCACCTGCCTTGGTGAACTGATTGGTGCTAGGGAAATAGCGATCAGGGACCTCCATGTCACCAGCATCCAGGAGCATATGCAGAAAGGCAAACACTAGTCTTGCCATGGCTTCGGACATGACTATAGCTTCCTCTTGCCTGATGTTCCATTGGCATCTCACTACCATATGCCTGTGCAGCCAAGGTCCCATTCTCAGGAGCCCCGTCATGCATGCTGCGCAGCTGCAAGCATGCATACTTGAGCTCAGGACTTGCGCGCTCGTGGCATACAAAGGATTGTTAGCACCTGGGAACTGCTGCTCTAAACCTCTTACTACTGACAATTACTGCTATGACTACAATCATTATCCCTTTGTTCTCATTACAGTTCTTTCCATTCTCTATCAGCTGCTATCTTCTTTTCCATTATCACTGTATGACCACATATAACCCCGAAGGTTTGTACTGCTGGTACGGCAGGCGCTGGCCTCGCTTTCCGCTTGGAGGATAGCAGTAGTTCTGCGCCTCTGCCGGGCAACTTGCACAAGTATGCTTACGTCTCGCAATCGGACTGTCTTGTCTGATGTCATGCAAGTCACCCAGCATTGTTTGTATTGTTCTCGCACCATTTGCATGTCCCATACGCACATGATTGCCGTGCCCTACATTCTTGAGGCGGGATTTCAAACTTTGTGCGGCTGCGGGCAGGTCCTCTGTTTGTGCATTTGCCGCAAAACCGCTGGCCTGGACTGGGAACTTCTTTGGCACGACATCTGCTGAAAGAACCTGGGCACTTCTGGGATGCCAGGTGTGCCCTCAAATGACCACCCTGATTCCCGTCCAGGCCTTGTCTGCTTCCATGGACCTCCTCTCTTCTGCGATCTGGTTTGCCAGGACACACTTGGCCTCAAGTTGCACGAGCAGCACTGCTCGAAACCGCTAAAATCAGCTAGGCCAGCTGCTGTTGTCTGAATGGGACGTACCTCAGTCCCAAGCCCGAAACACAATGTGCGCTGTTAGCGGCACTGACTTCCACGGCTTGGGTAAGCACCGGCTTCTTGATTGTTGGCCGGGCGCCCAAGATGTCGCTGATGGGAGGCACATCACCCAACTGGCTCAGCTCACTGCATTGGCTCCACAAGGCTTTGCATGACAGTATTATACAGTATTGCTCCCACTAGAATAGCTTCACTAGACTGCAACCAGTGGGACGGGCATGGCGCGCCTGGTGTCCTGGAAGTCCATTGTGCCAGTTTCCACAATATTGGCCATTTGTAGTGGCATAAAACCTCAGTGAATCGCGCTGCAAGCATGTTTGCTTGTCCATGGCCTGGCACTGACCGATCTAGCAGCCTACTGACTCCTTCCTCTGACCAAGAAGCATATCCGCATGGCTTGGCTCAGGTGCGGTGATGATCATGGTCCCCTGTCTCACAACTCACATCGTTTTTACTGCTGCCCCTGATGTCAGAGCTCTTGTGAGGTCAGCAAGTGCAGCAGGGCAGTATGCACCTGCCTTTGGCCCAACAGTGAGCCCAGAGGTCGCCATTTCCGGCTTTCTGTCCGGAGACGTGGCTGCTCGATCATCCGCCATATCCTGCGATATGATGCACTCGGAGCCACCACACGCTTCAAACGAGAATCACCCGGCCTCGAGGCGAAGGCGTCGAGGACGGCTGGAGCCAGAGTTGCAGCGTAGCACAACGTGTGCGAGCTATGAAAAGGGTGTTGGCACATAACACAAGATGAGGAAAAGGCTAGTCTTGCATGGTGACCTACCGGACCATCATTCAGGTGCAAGCAGCAAACAGAACTCCACTGCACAAGGCAAGTTTCAGGGTGAGAGGTGCAAAAGACGCGGAGCTGCACCATCTCTGGGCGCAGCATGAATTCAAACACAGACCACAAGCACTCAAAAGTGTAGAACCTTTCCTCCATACAAGGAACTTAAGATAACTTACCATGGTATAGATGTGTGGTAGTAACATATTTTCCCCATCATGGTATGGACCTCCTTGGTGAATGGGCTTTGGACTGGCTCTGGCTCTTGTGGCTCAGCCGCTCAGTAGCACCGCCAAGGGCGATGAATCGCTGTGTAACTCAGACTCTGAAACCAGGCACTTCAGTGTAGCTGAAGGGCACCTTCAGGTCACAATAATGATAATAATAATAATAATAGTAATAACAGTAATAGTAGTAATAATACTAATAATCGCAATACTAATAGTAATAAAATTGTAATCATAATACTGATACTAATAGTCTGATATTTGAAGCTCTTTCGGGATTCTCGATGAGCACGGCAAGGAGTATTTCGGAGCGCCAACAAGTGGATCTTGCTTTTGTAAATGATCCTCTGGCCCACATTCAAGGCCTTCCTTCCCTTCTTGTATGGCGAGAGATTCTCGGCCACATCGTCGTAGCCTCGTAAGATGTACTCTTTGAGTGGATAAATAACCTGAGGTAGTCAGAGACAACAATTGCAGATCAAACATGCCAACGACTGGGTTGAACAGCCGAGCGGCATATTCTTTGAGCACACGCCAGGTTGCTCGGAAGAAAGCAGCCACGAACGCCTGAGGCAGGCTCGACATCTGACTACAACAGGTGAGCCATTGTCTAAACTCCTAGTATCCCCCTTCAGTACCCCTATAATAATTCCCTAAATAATCCCCTACACAAACCCCTTTAAGGACTTTAGGCTATGGCTTAGGTGTTATGTAATCCGTGGAAATGTGATTTTGGGCTTCATCAACTCAGCTCAGCACAAAGAGGATGGCAAGGCAATCTAGTGTCCTTGTCCAGCAGGTCTGCTCCTCAACTCCAGCTTGTGCATAGGTGCATAAAAGAGTTATATAGGGATTATAGGGTATATAGTAGGTTTATATAGGGATAATGGAAAGGAAAATGGAAACAACTATGGGTGTTTTCCTAAAATTAGGGAGTACCTTTTATCCTATAACGGAGAATCAAATGAATCAAATGGAAAAGAACGTGGAACATGAAATGGAAACTGGTGGACTGTGCGGATTAGGGTTCAGAATCCAAGCTGGGTAGGGAGAAGGAATCCAACTGCACAAAATGGTGCTAGGCTAAGAGAAATCATGCGCATCAGCTCGTGGTGCCCTAGCTTTACGGGTACCCTCAGATGGTGAGACACTCGAACCTCATCAGATTGCAGCCCTCTTCGACACAACCACAGGAGTTATAGTAACAATAATTGTAGTACTAGTAATAGTAATGGTAATAATAATAGGAAAATAATAATAGTAATAATACTAATAATGGTAATAATAAGAAAAATAACAATAATAATGGTAGGCTAAAAGGTTGGACTGTGCTTTTTGCGAGCTCCTCCCCAGCCTCCCCAACATCTGCTCTCAGGGCTGCCTGCAATTGCAACATGCACGATCTTACTATTACTACCATTATTACCATTCCTATGATTATTGCTATTATTCTTATTACTATTATTCTTACTATTATTAGTGCGTTGATTGGCGCAGGAGCTCTTTTTACCGCAAGCAAAGACACACAAGAAAGTTGGTAACTGCCGGTTGGCACTATGCCTACACGACTCAAAAGCTTGAGGGTATTGTGGAAATGTCTTAGCATTCCTAGCTGGCATGCTGCCTGAGCCCATGGGGCTGCTTTTAAACAAGTGGACGATCTCCATGGAAGTCACAACACACTCCCCCTTTGGTCCTTGACCAAACCTTAAAAATCAATCTCGAGTGCAGTGCAACCAATCCAGGAGTATCCAAGATAGGCTCTAGAGCCGTCTGCGACTCTCCAGTTGTCGACATGAACTTTCCGTCGTCGGTCTTCCGGGCTGTCAGGGCTGATGTCGATGACGTAAGTGCGTCTGCGCCCTGTCAGCTGCGAAAGGGCCACTGGAAGTCTCGTCTGATCTGGTGTGAAGAGCCGAATCCTGGGACTAACATGCCACCTTAAGAGGGTCCGACAGCCACGTCTGTACTCGTATCTGTCTTGACCTACCGGGTTGAGGTCCAAAGTCAAGCATGGAGGCCATCCCTGAATCTCAACCGAGTTGAACTCAAAAACTTGTCCACGGCGTCGCCTCCTGGGCTGTTCCAACAACGGGGTTCCTGGCCCTTCAAAGGCGGTCATCACTTCCATTGCCTCTTCCTGCTGATCCAGGTAGCGCTGCACAGTTTCCCGAGGTCCAGTCACGGCTACATCATCCACATGATGTACCACTCGAACTTCAGGCCCCAAAGATTCATGCTCTAACCGGATACGCGAACACCATGAAACTAAAGACTTGCAACCTATTCCAAAATTACGGCAACCAGCCTTAAACGCTTCCCAACAACACACCGAAACTACTACCACAAATATAAAGAACTGCCAATCAGGGTTTCCAAGAGCCTGCACCATCTGGTTTCCGTCCCGATGGGCTTCCACGTTGTCGAGGAGGCTAGCTACCACCAGGCACGCGAGCAAGACTCGAACGTTCGCCTCCAAGGAGCCGTCAATAATCTTCTCCTTTTTCCGGCCGGTCGCAGACAGCTCCGACATCCCCAGCGCTGCAACAAGTTGCTGGAACCTTGGGGCCGGTAACGGCTTCGTTCCGATGTCTGCCTTCATGCTGATGCCATTTACATGGTGCAAGCTGTACCTGCCTGACTCTAGAGCTTTACGGACATAAGCTGCTCTCAGTCTCAAGTGCCGTGTACGCCAGTTGTTTGACGGAGTACTGCAAATAGCAATAGCTGCCTGACTGTCGGAATGCATCTGCAGCTGCAGCGGGGCACCATGGATCTCCTGCACCAACGGCTCCAAAGCTCGAAGGTCTGTAAACAAGGACGTTATCCCGACCAGTTCCGACTCTGCTGTCGACAGCGTGGTCAAACCCTGTTTGGTGGATGACCATGCCACCAACCCTGCGCTGTAATAAGCAAGTGTTGTCTGAAGGGATCTCCCGGCCTGCGGAGCAAAGCTGGCGTCACTGAATCCAACAAAAGAGTTGTGACCCATGGGCTGGGACAGATCGCCCTCCTCCCCCCAGGCCATTTCAGAGTGCCCGTACCATAGGCCTCGCGCAGGGAAGCGCCTGAGATATTTAATCACCTGCTCCCCCATTGCAAAAGCCTCCTCAGCGCTGACCGCAATCATCCTCGAAATGGCTCCCACGCCATGTTGGAGGTCCGGCCTCGTCAGGCCACTCAGCCAGAGAAGTTCCCCGGCGATCTGCTGAGCTTGTCTCACTGTCTGAGGATCCTGCTTCGTCAACGGTTCGACGTCCGGCAGACGCAACGCTGGAACATCAGCTCCTCCTTTATCCGGGTACCTCGACAGCAACTCTGGTGAACAAGGATGCCTCCTTCTCCCCGTCGGATTTCTACTCCTCGATAATGAACGTTGCCATCTTCCAACAGCTCTGGGCTCGACAGTTCCCACGTCTTCCCCAGTTCGGAGATGATGTCTGCAATGATTGGAGGTGTGCTCATAACCATCATGTCGTCCACGTACACAAGGAGCAATCCAAGCCGATGAGTCGGCTCAACCGGTTCTCGAAGTTCAGCTGGCACTACTGCCCAGATATTTGGGTCGGTCTTGAACTGCAACAACCGTACAATTCCGGCACAGGTACGTAGTCGTAACGTCGGCAACTTGCGATCCCGGCATCGGGACCATGCTGCTGGGCTTATTTGCAACCCGTACATCGCTCTCTGGACGTCCCAGAAGGATTCTTCACGAATTCCTAATCGGCGCCATAGGGCTGGAGTACGGATTATCATGCGCTTGGTGCCTAGGTCAGCTTGCTCAAGTTCCGCGTTCAAAAAAGCAGTTTTTATATCGACTACGCCTGCCGACCACTGCTGGGACACCATTAGAACGAGGCAGCAGCGGAGAGAAACAACGTCCAACCCTCCTGCGTAGAGTTGATTGGCTAGTTCCCGCAAGCATAGGATTCCACCATTCCTCGATATCCTTGAGGACTTCCTCAATGGAGATTATCTTAGTCTGCAAAGGTGCTCCAGCTTCGCCCTCCACTTGCGCTTCACATCCTCCTCCGACATCACTCTGCAGGCTGCAGATCCGGTAAAGCTTCTCAGGCTCCAGCTGGCTCCCGCCGGCATCTGGCTCAGGCAGAGGCTCGCCTCGAAAAGCCAGCTCTCGAGCCACATCCTCCTCCAACTCTACGAGCCGATTCAACTCTTGTGCTTCAATTTGACAATCGTGACCCTGCGCAGCTTCGTCCAGCACAATCTGCCTCTGCATCCCACACAGTTCCCGAAGCTCGGCAAGCACGCTGTCTAGGTGCTCCCCCACGACTTGCGCTCTTCCGAGCCCAGCGCAAAGAGGCAAGTCCTCCACGACCAGATCCACCTCTGGGGTACGATCCCCGTTCTTCTCCACCACAGCCCTGCAGGCAAACACCGCCAGTGGCAAGCTACATATGGAGGCTTCAACAACGGAATCCTGGTGAACCCTATCATGTCTAAACCCTAGGGGTTCGGGGACAGGTTAAACCCTACGGGTTCGGGAGGAGGCTTGGGAGATCCAGTCGTATCATCTTTCTGGCTCCACACATCTAGCATCCGCCTCACGCCCTGTGTCCCCTCC